GCTTTGAACGGTGTATAGCTGCCATGATATATAGTCGTGCGAGTGAAAGCAGGAGAACGAATCCTCAGAATTCCGGCACAATTGCACAGAACAGCCATCAGGAGGTTAACCAAAGGGCTAGTTCTTGCTTCTCAAGCCTGTTGATTTTTAATTTTTATTTTTTTTTTAAACTTCTCAAGGTCAGAGAATATGACCTTGGTATCAGCTTGAGCAAAGCTACTGCTCTGCTGTTCCGATAGGCTGCCAGCAGGGAATTGGTGTAGTGTAACCCTTGGCTGGATGAGTTTCACACTGCACTTGGAAGCACCGAGTGACAAGAGGTCATTTTAGCAAATGCCTAAGGGCAGCGGTATATGGACACTCTTCTCGCAGTCTCTCTGTGCCTCTCCTCTGCAGATGCCAAGTGGCACAGGGCTACCTGCCTCTGGGCCTTTTCCAGAGATTTTCCTTCCATCAAGGTAGCTGGGAAACTGGCCAAGACTGATTCGTGTCTCCAGAATTGCTCGGAGGAGCCTGCTAAGGTGGCCCTCAAGCCACACTTTCATATATTAGGAATAAATTTAGGTAAACCAAAAGCTTTTAACTAAATGACCTAGATGAAAGATCCTTAAAGAGACCCTACAAAGCTCTAACCTCTACACAAGGAAAGTGACAGCTAAAGCCATGGCCGCTGAAGCCTGCGGATGACTAGGATCAGTAACGAGTAACGATTCTTCTCCACAGAAAAGATCCATTTCTTGGACACAAAGAGATGGTAAAAAGATAATGCGTAACGAAAGCAAGTTAGCTGGAGGATTTTGCATACAATCAGGTTTTAACATACAAATATCCTCTACAGCCAAAGGGATACCTCAGCCTGGTGTCACGTCAGACCTGCAATTTTCAAGCAAGAATTGGAAGAGTGAGGTCTAAACGCAGGAGATTCACGCCTGAAAACCACCTGCTTTTACATCAAAACTACTTCAGTGAAATCACCGTGACCAAAATGGTCCACAAAAGACATTTTCCATTCCTGGACAGCTTGTCCATGTCTCTTATCCATAATATGATGTGGTTTAGATGATATTTTTAGCATATTTTAGGTAGAAGACTTCTTAAAGCTTCCAGTACCTGGTAGTTCGAAAAAACCAGCCCAGTATCCAGAGAAAAAACAGCTACAGTTGTCAAAGGACAATGTAAAAAGAAAAAAAAAAAATCAGTCATATTTATCAAGAATTTACCATCTCAATAATTCAACTTTACAAGGTGAAGGCAGCTGTGATTCCTGTAGGTTTCCAGTATCCAGACAAAAGGACAATGCTAAAGAAAATCCAGCTCCCCAAAATGCAAAACTCATCTTGATGCTTTTCTCTCGTTTCAGAGAAAACTGAACATGTTCCTACCTATGGAATTCATCTTAACTAGAGCAAAACTACCAGACAGTTCTGACTCCAGGCTTCCTCCCTGCACAGCAGGAGCTAAGCCTTCTCACAAAGATGTTTTCAGGCTGTTTCAACAGAAAAATCATACATATACACAAGTGTTTTGCTGAACAGTACACTACTACAGAACTACATTTGAAAACCAACACATTTATGAAATATAAAAAAAGCTTCTTTACACCTTCTGAAGCCATAAGTTTCAACCAGTATATGGTGTAACAAATAGTTGTTCAACAAAATCACAGAATCATAGAATGATTTCTAGATAAAATAGCTAGAAGAGGCTTATTAATATATATATAGAAAACAGGAGCAGGGCTCCAAGCGTGAAGGCTAGCAATAAAAGGTACCACAAAGTCTCCTAAAAATCAAATCTCAGCTAAGACACTGTGGACTTTATATTTACAGTAGCAAATTATTCCCCACTGTAAAGAGTCTTCACTGCGCTGCAGTATTTTCAGAAACGCGGCACGTAGTGTGCATTAATTAAGGTCTCTTTTTAGACCATGCTTTAGCACATGGATTTAAAACTGAATTGACAGGCTTGGAACAAATATTTCTGCATTACCTAAACTAAGTCACTGTAAGTTCCGTTCTTTAAGAAGCTCTGCATTGGATTTAATTGCAAGAAACACAAACACATGAATGATTGAATGCTGGGCTACCCAGAGATAAAGTTTGAGTAATAAGAATGGTTTATTGCTACAAATTGCTTCAAGATATAAATCTATCAAGTTCCCAGTACTGAGCATATAGAAGAAGGGACAAGTGGTCTACAAATAGCCGATACAGGACTATTTCAACTAAGTCCATAAAGCTAAACCAGGATATTTATTTCCAATGCTCTAACTAGTAGCCTAATCAGTAAAGCCCTTAAACTTGCAATAATATTTCACTGATGTGTACCAGAGCGTTACAAGTTATAAAATTTCCAATTTAATTTTACTGCATCCCTCAAGCTGTAGTAATTAGAAGACAAACTCACAGGGAAGCTGTTTATAGCTTCAGGGGTGAGAATTTTGAACCTGTCCTGCAGGTCACCCATGTCCTCAGGGTTCCCAGATCTAACAGCTGCCTGCAGACCCAGGAGTTTATTGTAATACTGCAGTAACTCCTCACTCAGATGAAGGGGGCAGATGTAGATGACGTCCACGTTGGCATCTAAAACAAAGGGGCACAATGTTCATTACTGGGAGAAAGGTAGACTCCGCTCACAACGGCAATCTGACAGCTCCTGATCATTTGCTAACAAACAGCTTCCCTGAAAAAGCACGGGAAATAAAAGCGAGATCTGTAGCTCCCAAATCTTAGTGGTTTCACTGCTTTTTCTGTGCTTCAGCATTTCTCTGAAGACAGGTCAGCAACTCAAAGAGCGAGCCAGTTTTCAGAATTCAATCTGCAGAATGTAGCGGGGGCAGAATTTTGAAAGCGTTTCAGGGGGATTTATGCACGCGACTCACATTAGCGTCGATGGGAATTGCGCACGGCTTTAAAAATATATCCCATTAGCTTCAGTAAATTATAAAAACTGAGCTATTAAGTTTAGAAAGCTGATGAAATTGCAGTTTCATCTGCTGCCTAGATTTTGCACGGCCGGTTCCTATTCTTGTCCTGTCCACATAAAAGCTCACACGGTAGGGTACCAGTAGTAACTATTGCCCAGCAAGATTAGCTAGTTAAATACCACAGGGTGAAAATCTGGTTTTCACATGTAAAACAACTTGGGCTGAAAGACGGTGTCTACACAAACACTCAGAGGTGAGAGAGGGAAAGTCTTTAATACAGGCCATTTTGCAAAAATGTCCCTGCTCTGCTCGTCTAAAATATTAATGTTAATAGATGAGCTAATGAATTAACGGGCCTTGCAGCATCGTCAGACTACGCTGCCAAAAAGCACTCCGAGATTTTGATCCAACT